ACTCTTTCCTTAGGGCTTATTTCTGTTTTTAATAAAACCCAGATATTGTCATTGGTGTGTCTATGTTGGCAGGGTTAGTTAAAAGGTGGGTTACCAAATAGAACAGTTAGAGAACCCAACATAAACCAGCGGCTCAGGGGTATTGCTACATGTCCTGTACATTGGCAGCACTTACAGTGGGGCAAAAAAGTATTTAGTCAGCCACCAATTGTGCAAGTTCTCCCACTTAAAAAGATGAGAGAGGCCTGTAATTGGCATCATAGGTAGACCTCAACTATGAGAGACAAAATGAGAAAAAAAAATCCAGACAATCACATTGGCTGATTTGGAAAGAATTTATTTGCAAATTATGGTGGAAAATAAGTATTTGGTCAATATGAAAAGTTCATCTCAATACTTTGTTATATATCCTTTGTTGGCAATGACAAAGGTCAAACGTTTCCTGTAAGTCTTCACAAGGTTGGCACACACTGTTGCTGGTATGTTGGCCCATTCCTCCATGCAGATCTCCTCTAGAGCAGTGATGTTTTGGGGCTGTCGCTGGGCAACACGGACTTTCAACTCCCTGCAAAGGTTTTCTATGAGGTTGAGATCTGGAGACTGGCTAGGTCACTCCAGGACCTTGAAATACTTCTTACGAAGCCACTCCTTCGTTGCCCGGGCGGTATGTTTGGGATCATTGTCATGTTGGAAGACCCAGCCACGTTTCATCTTCAATGCTCTTGCTGATGGAAAGAGGTTTGCACTCAAAATCTCACGATACATGGTCCCATTCATTCTGTCCTGTACATGGATCAGTCGTCCTAGTCCCTATGTGGAGAAACAGCCCCAAAGCATGATGTTGCCACCCCCATGCTTCACAGTAGGTATGGTGTTCTTTGGATGCAACTCAGCATTCTCTCTCCTCCAAACACGACGAGTTGTGTTCCCACCAAACAGTTCTATTTTGGTTTCATCTGACCATATGACATTCTCCCAATCCTCTTCTGGATCTTCCAAATGCTCTCTAGCAAACTTCAGATGGACCCGGACATGTACTGGCTTAAGCGGGGGACACATCTGGCAGTGCAGAGTCCCTGGCGGCGTAGTGTCTTACTGATGGTAGCCATTGTTACGTTGGCCCCAGCTCTCTGCAGGTCCCCCCGTGTGGTCCTGGGATTTTTGCTCACCGTTCTTGTGATCATTTTGACCCCACGGGGTGAGATCTTGCGTGGAGCCCCAGATCAAGGGAGATTATCAGTGGTCTTGTATGTCTTCCATTTTCTAATTATTGCTCCCACAGTTGATTTGTTCACACCAAGCTGCTTGCTATTGCAGATTCAGTCTTCCCAGCCTGGTGCAGGTCTACAATTTTGTTTCTGGTGTCCTTCGACAGCTCTTTGGTCTTCACTATAGTGGAGTTTGGAGTGTGACTGTTTGAGGTTGTGGACAGGTGTCTTTCATACTGACAACAAGTTCAAAAGGGTGCCATTGATACAGGTAATGAGTGCAGGACAGAGGAGCCTCTTAAAGAAGAAGGTACAGGTCTGTGAGAGCCAGAAATCTTGCTTGTTTGTAGGTGACCAAATACTTATTTTCCACCATAATTTGCAAATAAATTCTTTCCAAATCAGCCAATGTGATTGTCTGGATTTTTTTTCTCATTTTGTCTCTCATAGTTGAGGTCTACCTATGATGCCAATTACAGGCCTCTCTCATCTTTTTAAGTGGGAGAACTTGCACAATTGGTGGCTGACTAAATACTTTTTTGCCCCACTGTATTATGACGTTTGAAGGTAAGTATGATGCATGTTCTCATTTTTTCATCAGAACACAAGGACCTGCATATTTCAGCAGACCACAAGGACCAGCAAAATGTTTATCCTTAATTGCACCAATATTTTACTGAGCTGCACATATAGGGAAGGGTGTATTCCTTTATTATGGAGTTGTTTAAATTATCCAAGAAATTTTCCAACATAATAGAAAAACTCTCTGCATGGATTTGGACCTTGGATGCCCATAAGTCATCACTAGGGCTCAGCACTAAGCCCCACAAATCTTCTTGCAAGTGATGTTTAAATAGGTTGAATCACTTGCAAATACTAAAGGATGTATTATCATCTTTACACATCAATCACCAACAGTGGTACACATATAATCCACAAAACATTGTAATCACGTTTCCTCTGCTGTTCATATTTATTTCGGTACTATCACGCTATGTTCTCTGTTAATCGTTTCAAACAGACAGTTGAAATATCAAAAAAACAGTTCTATCATTTTTTTTTCATTTTTATTCTTTTACTACCAGGAATTATTTTTCATTTGACATAATGCAACAGCAGCAAACTTGCATAAACAAAGCTTTTTATATTTAAAAACTATAGTTCAGTATAATTCTATCCAAATGCAAAACCAAAATTAATGGCAAGGTCTTGATGAAATAAAAATATTGTCCATAAACTAGGACAAGTGTCTCATGGGAAGGAAATATTGTGCATCTTTTATTAGAGAAAGAATGAACATTCTGACAAGACCAGCAAATATTTGTCAAGGAGCACATGATAAACGTTACTAGCCACAGTCAATAGAAAAAAACAGCATGCCATGATATAGTGCTTTTTTGATGGCTGTACACTTATTAGCCACATCTATTTTTCAAGCAACAAGGTGACTGCTTTCAAGTTCAAGGGCTGTCCTTTGTAAGGGTAGGAGAGATCAGGTTCCTTCCCTATGGAAGCCACAAGTTGACAAGGATTAATATTAGTCTTTTGACAGCATCCCATAGGCAATAACCACTCTCATCATTTATTGCAATGTCCTAGAACAAGAATTGCCCTAGGCTTATTGTTTTCATTAATAGGCTAAAATACCTGTTGTTTTGAAGCCATAATCCATGTAATATTGATGGTTAAAATGTAAGATTTATAATGTCCCCAAGATTATAAAATTACTTTGTTGCTTACTAACAGACAGTTTTGTATTTTACCTTACAGTTTGGAAGATTAATGGTTGGCTTTCAGATTTACAGCATACAATGTACAAAGTTTGTGCTTGAAGAAAATATACAATATTATCGTACTGGATATTGAATTTAGTTTGAAAACAGGGTTTGAGCTTTACATTTGGGGTACCTAAGCACAAAAATATGATTTTTCAATTACTGTGAGAGGCAGATGAAAAACACCCCAAGGGTAGTAGTGGACAGAAAATGTGTTTTCCTTAGGCCTGGTTCACACCTTTGCATATTTATGTGCATTTTGCAACACTTAAAAACATTTGGCGCAAAAATACATAAACAAATGAGTTATGTCTGATGTTTTCTGTATTTTCAAGCTCTCTGATACTCAATGGAACAAGGAAAATGCATACAAATGGATGTGCAATGCGCATTAAAATGGATTAAAACCATATGAAAGCACACACAGACAAATGTGAACTCAGTCTTAGACTGTGGTTAGTTTTTTTAGCTAGAGGTATGGAGTCTGGCTGGGGATGAAGTACTGTACGTGGGTTCCTTGGCCACCTTGGGGTAGTGCTGCATGTGGTTGAGTGTTTATAATTGTATGTAGGTCAGGAGGCCAAAGTTATGTGTTTGATATACCCTCAGAGGAACAGTTGGGTTTCTGGAATGAAAAGTGAGTAAGAAAGCCTTTAACTGACATTTATTGTGAAATTGATTGCTATAGACACTGTCCTTTTTTGCTGGATTTTCACGTAAAATAGTATTTTTAACCCTAAAGTGATACTAAACCCAGGACCCTGCATTCACTATATCTGGTATCCCACAGTACACAGAAAAAAAGACGTTTACCTTACAACTGCTTTAATGTAGGCGATAATACAATTTACAAATTAGCAAGATTAATAATATGTATACCTCAAAGACATCAGGGACAGATTACTCTCTATTATGAAGTATAGGGATGCCAGGAATTACTTGATGTCTCCAGCTGAGTGCAAGTACAAAGGTTAGCATGGTTTGCCACAATTCTATAGCACTGGCACAAGTACATTATTTAAGGTACTTTTATGCACCATATAATATGGTATATATTTAATTAGAAACTGGCCACATTTTTATTTGTATATATATTTAATTTAATTCTCGTGAATATGGCACTCAGAGTGGGGAAAATATTCCTGTACCACAGGGTACTAGTCACTGAGTATATTCATTTATAATGCCACATACACATTTGGGGGGGGGTTATATTGATCATTATAGCTTTTGAAACATTTTTTCAAAGTTATTCATGGCCATATGTGATGACTAAACAAATTAATTCATCTGAGAAGCTGTAGTATGTGGTTTAAAATTAGAATGGGATTTTATTAAAAATCCACTGATATCAAGAAGGGTCCATTCATAACATATTACACAATCCTATCATAATCTGGTCCACAGATTTTTCAGTTGATGTGAACGCAATCTAAGTACTAGCAGATTGAGGGTGACCATCACTGGGGCAGGTCTGCTTAAGCCTTTACACACATGCAGCAGCCACTACCATATGTATTAACAGAAATATGCATCGTTTACAGCATCTGTTGTAATTCTGACCTTTAAAACAAGTCTGTATCACTCACTGCCACAGCCAGACAGGAATGTACACTATAGTAGCTTCTTCAGAAAGAGAGAGAGAGTTCTTAATTTCCAGTTAGAGCATTCAGAGGTTCAGCTTAACAATGTTTAAATATTGTTTATTAAAGGAAAAAAAAGAAAGATGAAAAAATAAATATTTACAGAAAAGATATTATAAAACAGACACACGGGCAACAATTGAAATAAAAGGGTTTAACAAAAAAAAAAAAATACTACTTACTTACTAGCCATCTGGACCTTGTAATAGAATTGTTTGATGTCTAACTCTTCCATTAACTACTTCCCGTCTGGCCCATGTATATAAATGGCCGGAAGGGAGCATGGGAGCAGGAGCGGGTGGCCGTTTATAAACATCCTCCCCCGCTTCCCTGCCTGTGCGCACTCCCTCCAGACACAACAGAACACTGATCACTGTACGGGACCTCTGTGTGAGGTCCCCATCATGTGATTACTGATTGGCCAATCAGTGATCACATGAATAGTAGTAAGCAAGATGTCACTTGCTGAAATCATTGCTTACTACGTGTGAAATCTGTGAATGATCACAAAGGTCACATGGTACAAGGCTATTCACAACAGCCTTGCACCATGTGACAAGCTGTGACCAATCACAGCTCACACAGTATTTCTCAATGGCTGCAACAATGCAGCCAGAGAGAAGGAAAAATGATTTACAGCCTTTACGGGTGTAAAAGCAATCAGTATAAAAAAAAAATCTTCATCACCCCCCACAAGTAGTACAGTGTCATTATGGTGAAACTGTACTGCTAGGGTGACAGTATGTTAAAAAAAAACATAAATAATAATATAAAAAAAAATATCAAAAACATTTTTTAAAAATGATAATTTTTGGTTATAAACTAATTTGGGTGATTTATTTTTTTTAATAAAAAGATAGATGAATACATTTAAGCCAAGATTTATGAAGAAAGATTATTTGCAAAATAAGAAAAACATTTTTTTTTTTCAAAATGTTTGCACTTTTTCATTTATATAGAAAAAAAAAATAAAAATCCCAGTGGTGAGTAAATACCACCAAAATAAAGTTTTATCTGTCTCAAAAAAATGCTAAAAAAAATAATCCAGGTACAGTGTTGCATGACCACGCAATTGTCATTCAAAGTGTGATAGCGCTGAAAGCTGAAAACTGGCCTGGGCAAGAAGTGGGTGACAGTGTCCGGACTTGAAGTGGTTAAAGTAGCTACTTTTTAGGAAGGTAATTCCATAGAAATTATAAATGTATATATGAATATATGTATAAAGTTTGACAATGGGGACTTCAGCTATAGGTCAGCATAGGTCAATACCCTAGTTTTACAAATCTGTATTCTTAAAACTGCACACCAGACCATTCACAACCAGGGGCTGACTGACCATTTGGAAACTCGGGCACTGCCCGAGGGCCCGGGGGCAGTAGGGGGCCCCATGAGATGCCCCTGGTACCTTTTTCATAGGCTTTTTTGAGTTTGAGCAAGGACACGGGGGCCCCATGATCCCTTATTGCCCGGGGGCCCCATGAGTTGTCAGTCTACCCCTGTTCACAACGTGGTAATTTATAATTAGATGTCCTTTAAAGTCTCTGGGCTAGTTAATGTTAATGATGCCCTGCATTCCTTCTAAATCGACTGTTGTTTTTTATCAAAATGTGCTGTCTTCTCTGTATACTTAAAGACTATGTAAAGCCAACATTTCCTATTCCTGATATGTTCCTGTTGTACCATGTATCCTGTTCTCTTTGTATTGTTTGCTTTGTGTGAAATCCCTGGTGTTCCTACCAGTCCTTCTGCGTTCCTTTTAAAAACTGACATCACTAGGCATGAAAGCACGTCATGGTGAATTCTCTAGCTGTGCTGGGAACTCAGTCTGCTTTCCTCAAATGATTAGACTTCTGGGAAGACCAGTGTCCTATTGTTTCTACCCCAGATTCTTATGCAGCTGAGAACAGAAAGTATGTAATCACGTATAAAAAGGGGAACAAAGTTGTATGTAATTTTTTTTTATATGTATACACAAATGTTTTGCCTTTCATTTCTTAGTTAAACTGAATGGTTTGTTTTACAAGGTAAGGGTTTACATGTTTGCGTTATAATGAAAGGAGATTTACGTGGACATTCTTGTTACTGACTTTTGATTTTTTGTGAAAACGAGGGGGCATTGTATTCTACCCCACTTCCCCATTTTCACCACACAGCTTAGATATATGTCAAACCTGGCTGCTATCATGTAGGCCCACTATACTGTAGGACACTGCTCACATGAAACAACTGAATATAAACCAAGGAACAAGGAGGAGTGTATGTAAGATACTGTATATTTACTTTGCTGGTCCTTGCACACTTGTATTGTGACTATTTCAACCAGTATGAATGTGTATTCTGATTATCCAGAGTCCATCATGGAGTGACAGTAGGATTCTGCTATGCCTTTTGGCATCTTCACCTGAATACCACATTGGTATTGAGATCCACCACTGAGAGGGGAAGCCAGATGCGCCCACTCCTCCCCAGCCTGTCACTCCAGTGAGCACTGAAGGAGCAGAGGGGAGTATGGTGACTGACAATCACTGTGCTCCACTGCCAGCTGACTGATAACTGACATATCAGATTTCAAGGATAGAGCAAATGTGGAACAGCTCCAGTGTCACATGAAAGCCGCAGCATAGAAGTGAGCATGTATGTTTCTCCTTTACTATGCATTATATTTTATTTATCAGACAAAAACAGAAAGATATTTTTCATACACAAAGAAAGAAAGCAAGTACAAAATAACTATATATCCCCTTCAATGGAATAAAAGACAAAGATCTACCTTTAGCAAGAAGGAAAACCTTTCAATACAATTCACTACTTTGCAGCTACAGGTATTCTATCTAATTTTCTTGCACAGTGTGATTGCTGTGCTTTTATAGATTTTTATGAAAGATAAAAACTTTAAATATCTGTTCCAAAAGTAAGCGCAGTTTAAAAGTTGAAACAGTTTATTGCAGTCACAGCACACATGTAGTGGGATTTAATAAACGTGCAAATCTAGGCAGGAATTTGCAATAATTGGAAATACTGTTCTATAAACACAGACAGTGCATGAGATGAATAAATGACCGTTAAATAGGATTATTAATTGCATGAAACTTTCGTGCTTAGCCAATGTGACTTGGTACATGCAGGGGCGGACTGACAACTTATGGGGCCCCCGGGCAAAAGGGGATCATGGGGCCCCTGTGTCCTTGCCCAAACTCAAAAAAGCCTATGAAAAAGGTACCAGGGGCATCTCATGGGGCCCCCTACTGACCCCGGGCCCTCGGGCAGTGCCCGAATTTCCAAATGGTCAGTCCGCCCCTGGGTGCATGTATCCAGATTGCTCACAATATGGTAATAGAATTTGTAAACTTTTCTTGAGTTTCAGTGGGTTTTATTCCAAAGATAGAATGCTGCAGCCAGACTCATCCACCTTACTAACCGTTCCATATCTGCCACCCCTCGCTGCCAATCCCTTCACTGGCTTCCCATTGCCCAACAGATAAAATTCAAAACATTAACAATAACATATAAAGCCATGTATAACTCTGCCCCAAATTACATCACCAATCTTGTCTCCAAATATCACCCAACCATACTCTCCGCTCCTCACATGACCTCCTGCTCTCTACCTCCCTCGTCTCCTCCTCCCATGCTCATCTCCAGGACTTCTCCAGAGCCTCCCCCATCCTCTGGAACTCTCTACCCCAATTTATCAGACTATCGCCTACTCTGCTCACTTTTAGGCGATCTCTGAAAACCTATCTCTTCAGGGAAGCCAATCCTACCCTCAGCTAATAATGGAAACTTCTACTCCTCCTACCAGTTCATCCCCTACAGTTACTACCTTTTGTACCACTAGCCCCTCCCTCTTAATGTGTAAGCTCCAAGGAGCAGGGCCCTCCTAACCCTCTTGTATTGAACTGTATTGTTGCTGTATTGTCTCCCGTTATATTGTAAAGCGCTGTGCAAACTGTTGGCGCTACATAAATCCTGTATTATAAGAATAATAATAATAACCAGATAACCGGCTACTTTCCCAAATTGTTCTTAGTGAGTTAAAGTGTGGTAGAGACACTGAACTATGAGTTTCTTTGGGTGGCAGGACTGATGTGTCTATGTACTCTGCAAAAACAGGATTTTTTTTGTAACGCACCATAAAATCCCTTTCTCTGAGTTCATTGAAGGACACAGCTCTTCTACTCTTGACCATAGAGTGCCTATGGGCAGTCCTAGCTGGTATAAACCCCTCCTTGCTATAGGTAACCCAGTTAATGTATGAGCAGTGTATGAAGAAGTGTGCTGTGTCCATCAATGAACCCAGAGAAAAGGATTTTACTGTGAGCAAGAAAAAAATCCTGTTTTCTTTTACTTTCATGGATGCACACAGCTCTTCTATTCTTGATCATAGGGACGTCCCAAAGCAGTAAGGAGTGGGCAAACCAAAGAATGGGAGCAACTAATCAAGCATGCCTTCCACCCACACATCATCCTCAAAGGAGGAAACAGGGACCTCAAACAGAAGCCTGCAAACCTTGTGGCCAAACATGTATCTGAAAATGCAGATACAACAATGTAAGCAAAAATGGCAAGTGTATGCACAGATAATCAGGAAACCACCTTGCAATGCACAATACAGTTGCACAATGTTGTAATACCCCAAGTGCCAATAGTCATCCAAGTGGGAGACATCATACCAGAGAAAGCAGGAGCCAGACATGGACAAACCAAAACATGGACAAGCAAAGCTACACACCACAAGAAATAAGCCTTCTAGGTGCAAAAATAAACCATACTAGAGATAGACTTACAGGTCATCAACCTAGGAGGGAGCTCTGATCAACAACCCCTACCACACAAAAACTAAATTGCAATAGTCATGCCATCAAAGCCAGAGACTGTAAGGCAGGATGGTCAAGTGTCCTTTGGAACAGAAGGTCTACCAAGAATAGTAGCCAGAGCCACCAGAAGGGCAGAAATCCCCTCTGTCGCCAGCCTGCGCATCAGCTGATGGAGCAGCTCTGGAGGAGGAGAGGGTAAAGAAGAGATACTGATCCCATGTTGCCACCAGCACATCCGATGCAGCCTCCCAGGGAGTCCCCTGCTCTCACCCTAAACCTTGGAACCTCACTGTTAAAGCAAGACAGCATGAGAGCCAAGGGTCCTCCAGCACTGAATGACCTGACAGAACATGTCCAGGTGCAGAAACCACTCCCCTGATCCAGCATCTGAGGTCCAATCTGCCCATCAGGATTGGACACCTGGGATATACAGGTGGACAGCACCGGTACATGTAATTCCACCCCCAAGAATGCACTAGGCCTCCAGCACCGCTGCCACATGTCTCATGGGTAGTTGACCTAGGTCACTGCAGTGAATCTCGATCGGGCGCCCACAGAAAAGGTCTGTCTATCACATTAGACACAACCTGGTAGCTCACAGCACCAGAACAGTAATGGGCAGCCAATCCCCTAAAGGCAACCAACATCCCTGTTCTGAACCTGAGCCCAGAACTCCACCCCTTCCCAGCCTCTAAGTGGGATGACCAAAACCATGAGAGGAGAGAGGGCCAGGTCATAACCCCGGAACTGGTTATCCAAAGAAA